ATGTCATGATTAGAAGGGGGGAAAAATACCAGAGTTGCTGATACTGATCTGCATATCAATGGAAGCCATTTAGAAGGAAGGGAAAAGCAGATCACGCTGGGAGCCAAGCACCGGTAAAAGACAGCTCTATGCCAGCATCTTCGAGGAGGATGGTTGTGGAGAGAACTCTTTCTATGGGGAGAATGCCTATTTGGTTCTCTCTCTGGACTATGGAAATCTTTCATTCAAGCCGGTCTTCCAAGCCCTGTGGTCACAAGTGTCAAGATTAGGCCACTTACACTTTCATCTGGTTCTCGGGTAGCCAGTGGTGGTGTCCCTTTCCCGCCATCCACGGGGCTGACTGGAAGTCAGCCGAGGACTCCAGAGAACCTAGCGGGCTCACGCTCCAGCCTTTATAAGGAACTGTCTCTGTTTCTAGGTTTCGAGACTCAGCAGACCCAAACAGCTCTGGGTTTGCAGGGTTCCCCCGGGAGGGACCGGCCACAGAGAGGAGGACAAGTGCCCGTCATGTGTCAGCTGGAGAGGAGATGGCGCAGGCCCAGCCGGGCGAGGCCACTGCCCGGCCTGCCAAACAGAACGGAACAGAGAAGGCCAGAGAGGGCTCGCCCGGGAGGCAGGACAGAGAGCCGCCCACACCGAGGATTCTGGGAGGAAAGAAGAGCCCCTTGTCCACGCCGCGCTGGGCCAAAAGGGTGACCACAACAAAGACACCTACCCCAACCGATCAGAACAAGGTGCTGTCCACTTCAGCAGGCCCTAAGGGGTCAGTTCCCTCCCCGAGGAGCAGCCGAGAGGGGAAAAGCACAGCGGCCATCCAGAAAGTGAGCCCCACCCACAGAGTGGGCAGCAAGACCCCCACAGCCAAGCCAAGGGTAAAGCCGAAGGACCCCACCCCCAAGGAAGAAGCCAGGCTTCAGAGTCCCACCTCACAGAGGCCCCTAGAGCTGAAGGCCGCCAACTTCAAGTCTGAGCCTCGGTGGGATTTTGAGGACAAATATAGCCTGGAAGTGGGGGGCTTACAGACGGTGAGTGTCCACGCCCTGCCCCCTTTCCTGCTTTGAAGCCCCTTGGGGGAAGGCGGCCCACTTCGACCCTTCCCCGTCCCTCCAGACTTGGCCATGTAGGAAGCGGAAGCAATACCTGGCCTGCTGGACTGCCCTCCCGAGACAGAGGATGCTCAGCTCTGCCAGGATGCTGGGTGGGCAGGGGGTCCACGGGATCGAATCCCTGTCCTCTGGGGAGTGGGTGGGGGCAGGTGGTAACAGACAGGACCACCCTAGCCCGCCACCCAGCCCCAAGCCTTGTGAATACCTTGTCTTCCCTAGAAGTCCAGTACCACAGTGCCACCCTCCCCTGCCCCTCAGAAAGCACCCAGCCTGGGCCCCACACCGGGGCCTCTTCCACATACACCCTCCCGGGGGTTGCGGGGATGGGAAAGGGGAGAGGCCACATGCCTGTGTTTCCACCGCATAGTGCACCCTGAAGGACACACAGCCCCCCAGGAACCCTGGGCCCCAGGGGCTCTGGTCCGAGGAGGGCTCTGCAGAGCCTGGCTGACCCTGTCCTCCTGCACACAGACCTGCCCCGACTCCGTGAAGGTCAAAGCCTTCCTGTCTCCCTGGCTACAGCATCTCTTCATAGCCAACCTCACCCTCTTCCTGGACTCGGGGTGCTTCACCCCGAGCGAGTGGGCTCGCCTGGAGCATTTCTCACCCCCCTTTGGCTTCATGGAGCTCAACTACTCCTGTAAGCTGCACCCCCACCCCACCCCACCGCCGCTGGGGGCACCAGGGGAGGGCTCCGCGGGCAGCAGGATAGCTGCTCTGAGGCTGAGTGGAGACCCCCCTCCTGATTCCAGTGGTGCAGAAGGTGGTGGCCCACTTCCCCCCGGTGCCCCAGCAGCAGCTGCTCCTGGCCAGCCACCCTGCTGGGGAGGCGCAGTGCGTCAGCTGTGCTGTGGTGGGCAACGGTGGCATTCTGAACAACTCCGGGGTAGGCTCTGAGATAGACAGCCACGACTACGTGTTCCGGTGAGCACCCAGACCCTCTGCTGCCCACCCTGCCCAGAGCAGCCCTGCCTCGCCCGTGCCTGCCCCTCCACCCACTCAGGGGGGGGGGGGGCTGCCTCCTTTGGCGTCCTGGGTACAGACTGAGCAGAGCCCTGGTGGCGTAGTGGTCACATCTGTTGGTCAGCAGTTCGAAACCCAGCAGCTGCTCCTTGGGAGACTTCCATAAAGAGTGACAGTCTCTGTCTCCCTTGGGGCAGGTCTACCCAGTCCTCTTGGGTCCCCCCCTCTGCGTGGGCACCGGCGCCAGCGCAGTGAAGGTGGGTTTTTGTGCAGGCTGAGCGGAGCTCTCATTAAGGGTTACGAACACGACGTGGGCACTCGGACGTCCTTCTACGGCTTCACCGCCTTCTCGCTGGTGCAGTCCCTCTACCTGCTGGGCCGCCTGGGCTTCCAGCACGTGCCGCTGGGGAAGGTGAGCCCGGAGGAAGGGGCTTGGCCTCCCTCAGGCCCTGGATGAGAGAGCCCAAAGGTGACAAGGGGAGGGTGGCCCAGGCATCTGGGGTCCGTGGTTGATGCAGGCAGACCAGGCGTGTCGGCCGGGAGGCCGGAGCAGAGCCAGGGGCCGGTCAGCAGTCCTGCAGTGCCACTGGCTGCCTTTGGTCCTCAGGACGTCCGTTACTTGCACTTCCTGGAGGGCACCCGGGACTACGAGTGGCTGGAAGCCCTGCTTCTGAACCAGACCGTGAAGGGAAATAACTTTCACTGGTTCAGGTACACTACCCTATCCCAACCCCCCACTGAGCTGGGCCAGGGTTACAGGCATGGCCTGGGAGCTGGGAGAAGAGGGCTGAATGACCTGTTTGAGCCGCAGGCACCGGCCCCAGGAGGCCTTCCGGGAAGCCTTGCATCTGGACCAGTACCTGCTGCTGCACCCGGACCTGCTCCGGTACATGAAGAACAGGTGAGAGCTGAGTGGGCAGGTGGGCCCCCCTCCCTGTAGGCACTTGACAGTGGGGGGATGGCTGATTTGCAGGTTTTTGAGATCTAAGACCCTGAACACCACTCGCTGGCGGATATACCGGCCCACCACTGGAGCCCTTCTTCTGCTTACCGCCCTGCAGCTCTGTGACCGGGTAAGGCTCTGTCTGGGAGCAGGGGGCCTGGAGGCCCAGCTGGCCCCTTCCTGAGACACAACTGGCTGGAGGCATAGCCGGAGAGGGAGGAGAGAGAGAGGAAATGCATGTGAGCATGTGCATTGAGGGCACCTGCTTGGGACCCCTAGAAATGGACTACAGAACAGGGTGGTCCTGGAAGGGGGGTGGGGGAGGACTATTTTGATCAGAACTCCTTTCAGAAGAGTGTTGCTTCTGGCAGGACCCACAGGTTGGCCTCTGGAGCTGAGGGAAGTGGAGGGGCTGGTGGTCAGGGGGTGAGTCGGCCAGGCCATGCAGCGGGGAGGGGGGGGGGGCAACTGCAGGCCTGTCTCTCCCTGCCCCTCTGCAGGTGAGCGCCTATGGCTTCATCACTCAGGGTCACGAGCGCTTCTCCGACCACTACTACGACAAGTCATGGAAGCGCCTGGTCTTCTACCTGAACCACGACTTCAACCTGGAGAAAGCGCTCTGGAAGAAGCTGCATGACGAAGGGATCATTCGACTGTACCAGCGCCCAGAGCCTCCGAAGTGAGGCTGGCCCCGGGGCTGCCGCCCTCCCTCCAGCCCTGGCTCCTGCAGCATTTTCTCTGGCCTGAGCATCCTCAGGAGGACAGTGGGTAGGGGAGACATCTCTCTCAAGGTGGCAAGTGGCCACTTCACATGGGGAGTCTGTTACACAGCAGTCATGCCGACACACCTTAGCGGGTTGCAGGTGAGATATTTTATTGAGGAGGCCTCGCACCTTGGGGATTCATTGCATTCAAGAGGCTGTGCCTAGTGGCTGCCTCTTATTCAGGAGGTCCATACCTGGGGACTTCCCAGGCTGGCTCCTGGGTCACCGGTAAATAAAAGAGATGTTGTGCCAATGCACTCCCAGGTATAACATTGTTATGTATGCGGCTCTATAATGGACTCATTTCTTGGGCCTGTACAATGTTCCTCCTTGGTCCCTTGTCCCCCCACCTCGTGCTCCCCCCCGCCCCCACCCAT